ATAAAGTGCACCACCATGACCACTTCAGCATGATACTTTTGTCAAATATTGTTCATACAATTATTATAGCAGGTCTGGACGATTTCCAAATACTGTGTACAGGGTTATTTTCGCCCTTTTACACTTACAAACAATTATGTCCCATTTTAAATTCGCCCAATCATAGTTTTATATAAGAAATTATACTGTATTATTTCATTTCGTCCTGTTTTAAATTCGCCAAATGAGGGTAGGGCGAAAGGGGCCAAAATAAAACGGGGGAGAAAATTTCCCTGCATACAGTATGGAAGTCAAGAACAATGATCAAAATTGCTATAAATGTTCATCAGGTACACATAAAATTATTTTTCTGACCAATCAGACAACTGCATTTTTTTTTAAAAGAACAATAAGATAACACGTGCTTTATTTTTTTCCTCAAAAAGATTTTTTAAACAAAAAATCTGTTGAAGTAAGATAAAAACTTTTGAAGAATAAGTATTCCAGACATGTTTACCGTGAACAACCTTGGCATTTTTATCTCGGTAAAGGAAACAAGAGGCCCATGGGCCACATCGCTCACCTGAGCACCTTTGGTCGGCCATTGTGGCCCCGCCCTACCCCTTGGGGGTCATGATTTGAACAAACTTGAATTTACATTACCTGAGGATGCTTCCCTATAAATATGATCAATCATGGCTTGGCTATTCTTGAGAAGAAGATTTTTAAAGAATTTTCCTATATATTTCTATGTAAAACTTTGGTCGGCCATTTTGGCCCCGCCCTATCCCCGGGGTCATGATTTGAACAAACTCGAATCTACACTACCTGAGGATGTTTCCACATAAATATGATCAATTATCGCTTGGCTTTTCTTGAAAAAAAGATTTTTAAAGAATTTTCCTATATATTTCTATGTAAAACTTTGGTCGGCCATTTTGGCCCCGCCCTACCCCCGGGGGTCATGATTTAAACAAACTTGAATCTACACTACCTGAACATGCTTCCATGTAAATATGATCAATCATGGCTAGGCTATTCTTGAGAAGAAGATTTTTAAAGAATTTTCCAATAGATTTCTATGTAACACTTTGGTCGGCCATTTTGGCCCTGCCCTACCCCTGGGGGTCATGATTTGAACAAACTTGAATCTACACTACCTAAGGATGTTTTGATATAAATATGATCAATTATGGCTTAGCTATTCTTGAGAAGAAGATTTTGTAAAGAATTTTCCTATATATTTCTATGTAAAACTTTGGTCGGCCATTTTGGCCCCGCCCTACCCCCGGGGGTCATGATTTGAACAAACTTGAATCTACACTACCTGAGGATGTTTCCATCTAAATATGATGAACTATGGCTTTGTCATTCTTGAGAAGAAGATTTTTAAAGAATTTTCCTATATATTTCTATGTAAAACTTTGGACGCCATTTTGGCCCTGCCCTACCCCCGGGGGTCATGATTTGAACAAACTTGCATTTACACTACCTGATGATGTTTCCCCATAAGTTTCATCTTTCCTAGCACAGTGGTTCTTGAGAAGAAGATTTTTAAAGAATACCACCAAAATTTCATTAATTCCCAATTATCTCCCCTTGAATGAGAGAGTGGCCCTTCATTTGAACAAACTTGAATCCCCTTTACCCAAGGATGCTTTGTGGCAAGTTTGGTTGAAATTGGCCCAGGGGTTCTTGAGAAGAAGTCGAAAATGTTAAAAGTTTACAGACAGACAGACGGACAGACAGACAGACGGACGCCGGACAAAATGTGATCAGAAAAACTCACTTGAGCCTTCGGCTCAGGTGAGCTAAAAATGCATAATAGAATGTACTTGTTTTGAATGAAGGTATAGATGGCATCAGTAGTTTCTATCAAGTTCAATTATAACATTTACCAGTATATATTTTATGTTGGTAAATATGATTTTGCTTAGCCGTCCGATTTTCATGGATAATGCTTAAATTCTAGGTGTATAGACCATAAGTCGCAGTTGTAAGACTTAGTGTTTATCGTATGGGCTATCCACATATAATACTAACAGTGAAACTTCTCCAAACCGGCCCCCCTGGAAACCGGTTCTCCCTGAACACCGGCAAATTTATATGTCACGGCAAAATTCTTAACATTTCTTTACACATATTAAACTCTCATTAAAACAGGCCACCCCTGAAAATCGGACACTGGCCACTTTCCCAAGAACAAAAGTTAAGAAACATAGGAAATTTCCCCTCATCATACCGGCCACTTTTTGATTGCAAGAAATTTAACTGTCATTGGCCAGAGGGGTAATAATTACCGGCCAGTGGTGTGAAAAATAGCCTACCCACTAGAAGTCAGAGATGTGAAAAACTGAATATGGCCTCATAAGGTTTTATATTGTTTAGCCGTCTTGATGGGGTAGTCATTGTGCCAGACTACGTGAGTGGCGGGTCTGAGCTGTGTTCATGAGATAAATATAAATCAAACTTGAATAAATAAAATATCAAGAAAAAACTGATAAATTTAAAACACAGAATGAATCAACAAATTAATGCACGCCATATTGCATCATCTTTTTAAATCCACATAAGCGGCCTTAAAATTGGGGACTGTTAATAAATGCTAAGAAAAAAAAAAAAAAATAAAATGTTTACCAAAATACATGTATACATTTCATAATTAAAATAACAGAAGTTTTGCTCAGAAATGTTTTAATTATTTACTTGTTACTGAAGTACAAACATTTTTTTTAATGACATAAGCGATACACAGATACACATGCAGTATTCTGTATAGACTTCAGTTAGGCAAAGGGTTTGGTTTATTTTTGTCCCCCGCTTTCGCGAAAGCGAGGGGAATAACTCATATAAAGGGTCGTCTGTCCTCTGTCTGTCACAAAAACTTTAACCTTGCCCATAACTTTTGATTTAGTAGAGCTATGACTTTCATATTTCACATGTGTATTCCTTGTGACAAGACCCTTCTTTGGGTACCACCAAATTTGACCTTTTGACCTTGACCTTCGAGTTTGACCTACTTTTACACAAAAATTCCACACTTTTACTTTGGCCATAACTTTTGAATAGGAGGTACTAGGACTTTCACATTTCACATATGTATTGTTTGTTGTAATACCTTTCATTGGATAACAACAACTTTGACCTTTTGACCTTGACCTTGGACATTTACGCACTTATAAAAAAAACTTTAACCTTGACCATAACTTTTGAATGGTGAAGACTAAGACTTTCATACTTCACATATTTAATCCTTGTGAAAAGACCTTTGATTGGATACCAATAACTTTTACCTTTTGACCTTGACCCTGGAGTTTTAACTACTTTTAAAAACTTTAACCTTGGTCACAATTTTTGAACGGTAGACACTAGGACTTTTATATTTCACATATGTATTTCTTGTGGCAAGACATTTCATTGGATAACAACAACCTTGACCTTTTGACCTTGACCTTGGAGATTTACGTACTTATAAAAAAAAATTTAACCTTGACCATAACTTTTGAATGGTGAAGACTAAGACTTTCATACTTCACATATATAATCCTTGTGAAAATACCTTTGATTGGATACCAATAACTTTTACCTTTTGACCTTGACCCTGGAGTTTTAACTACTTTTAAAAAACTTAAACCTTGGTCACAACTTTTGAACGGTAGACACTAGGATTTTTATTATTCACATATGTATTTCTTGTGGCAAGACATTTCATTGGATAACAACAACCTTGACCTTTTGACCTTGGAGATTTAAATACTTATGAAAAAACCTTAACCTTGACCATAACTTTTAAACGGTGAGGGCTAGGGCTTTCGTTCTTCACATATGTAATCCTTGTGAGAAGACTTTCATTGGATACCAACAATGTTTACCCTTTGACCTTGACATTTGAGTTTTATTAGAATAACTACTTTTTAAAAAAAAACTTAAACTTTTGTTACAGCTTTTGAACGGTAGACACTAGGACTTTTATATTTCACATATGTACTCTTTGTGGCAAGTCCTTTCATTGGATATCAACAACTTTGACCTTTTGACCTTGAACTTAAAGATTTACGTACTTATATAAAAAAAAACTTTAACTTTGACCACAACTTTTGAACAGTAAGGGCTAGGACTTTCATACTTCACATATGTTATTCTTGTGCGAAAACCTTTCATTGGAAATCGACAACTTTGACCCTTTGATCTTGACCTTGGAGTTGACAGACTCTTAAAATACTGTTTACTTTGGACACCGAAAGCGGGGGACCTCAATTCTTTGAATTTGCTTGTTTCGCTTATGGTTAATAAAGTATCTCATCATGTTTTTTTTCTGTTCTTATTTTTTCAAATTTCTTTTTATAAAAATCAACATGTAGTCAAATTTATCCTCACTAATAATAATTTCCTTTTTTATGCCCCCGTAAACGAAGTTTCGGGGGTATATAGTTTTTGTCGTGTCTGTCTGTCTGTCTCTCTGTTTGTCTGTTTGTCCGCAAAAACTTTAACCTTGCCCATAACTTTTGATTTAGTGGAGCTATGACTTTCATATTTCATATGTGTATTCCTTGTGACAAGACCTTTCTTTGCGTACCACCAAATTTGACCTTTTGACCTTGACCTTGGAGTTTGACCCACTTTTACATGAAAATTTTAAAATTTTACTTTGGCCATATCTTTTGAACAGTAGACACCAGGACATTTATACTTCACATATGTAATGTTTGTTAAAAGACCTTTCACTCGATACCAACAACCTTGACCCATTGACCTTGACCTTGTAGATTTTTATACTTGTGAAAAAACTTTAACCTTGGCCATAACTTTTGAACAGTAAGGGATAGGGCTTTCATACTTCATATATGTAATCCTTACGAGAAGACCCTTCATTGGATATGAAGATCCTTGACCCTTTGACCTTGACCTCTGGGTTTTACCTACTTTAAAAAAGCAAACCTTGGCCATAGCTTTTAAAGAGTTAGGGTTAGTGCTTTCATACTTTACATATTTGATTCTTATGACAAGACTTTTCATTTGATAACAATAACTTTGACCCTTTGACCTTGGAGTATGACCTACTTTTTAAGAAAATATTTAAAATTTTACTTTGGCCATATCTTTTGAACAATAGACACCAGGACTTTTATACTTCACATAAGTAATGTTTGTTAAAAGACCTTTCACTGGAAACCAAAAACCTTGACCCTTTGACCTTGACCTTGTAGATTTCCGTACTTGTGAAAAACTTTAAACTTGGCCATAACTTTTGAACAGTAAGAGATAGGGCTTTATACTTCATATATCTAATTCTTGAGAAAAGACTCTTCATTGGATATGAAGATCCTTGACCTTGACCTCTGAGCTTGACCTACTTTAAAAAAGCAAACTTGACCATAACTTTTAAAGACGTTGGGATAGTTCCTTTCATACTTTATACAGGGTGTCCCAAAACATATGTTACACTATTGAATTGTTATAGAAATTTTATGCCACAAGTTATATGAATGAAATTTAATATACATAATACAATTGTTATGAATTTTTCGTCAAGTAAACATGTGTCAAAGTTTCCTTATTTATTATCAATATTTTTTGTTTAGAATAACATTTGTCATTTTACAACATCTTCTTCTAAGTGAGGTCCTATTAAATTAACACTGTTTAAACACGATTTCTGATGTTTTTTATCAAACCTAAATGTAACACTTTAACAGTTTGGATGGTTTTCCACATTAAAACTGGAGTTCACCAAACGAATGAGTTTAAGATTTTCTTTAAATACATTGTTAAAATGGAAGTGGGCTTCAGCCTTCATCGGAAAAAAATACTTCAGTTAATTTTTCAGGGTTGGGTCTAATTCAAATCCAATAGGCAAACCTAAAATGACTTCTAATATCTGTCTCTTTCAAATGCTGCATCATACTTATCTTGTAAGGAATTAATTTTAATTAAAATTTGAGTATTTTATGGACATTGGATTTATGAATGGTGCTTTATTGTTAATACAGAACTCGTTTAAGTTTTTCCCTTTTTTTAAAGTTTCAGAAATAAGTTAATCAATGAGATTAATCGTCTCCGTGGTACGGGCACCCTTGGTCTTCTAATGCCATAATTAAGTCATGTGTCATTTATGGTGCCTTAAAGTCAGACTCCTACACAAATTTGTATATAAGTATTCTGTTGAGTTATTTCGTTACAGGATGATTTTTCCCATGGTTCTAATGACTAAAGTAGAAGATTTAGACCCATAGTAAAGTTTAACAAAATTTTACCAGCTGTTCACATGAAGGTTCCATATTAAAAAATATGATGACATCATAAGGACATCATAATTACCTTAATTTATAATAGAATTTCTCAAAAATTTGTCAGATAAAATGTATACTAATACACTTCATGTTGACAAAATATCTTCGTGAATGCTTTTGGTTTGATAAAGTTGTATATGATTAAAAGTGTAACATATGTTTTGGGACACCATGTATATATGATCCGTATGACAAGACCTTTCATTTGATAACAATAACTTTGATGCTTTGACCTTGACCTTGGAGTTTGACCTACTTTTTAAGAAATTAAACTTTAACCATAACTTCTGAACGGTTAGGGCTAGGGCTTTCAGGCTCTACATTAGTATTTTATGTGGCAAGACCTTTCATTTGATACTAATTACATTGACCTTTTGACCTTGACCTTGGAGATTTTTGTACTTATTAAAAACCTTTAACATTAGCTTACTTTCGAATTTCACAATTGTTTTCCAGTGAGAATACCCTACGTTTGATACCAATTAATTAAATTTGCATTTAATAAAAGCTTAATCTTTGCTATGTTGCCATACGGGGGCATCAGTGTTTTACAAACACATCTTGTTATACCTTAAGAATATATACATTACGTGTCTGCCGATAATTAATAATATGTTGACAGATAATTATAACAGACACCAATTATATATTTTTCTTAGCATCTGTCACACAGTTGAAAGTTCTGCATATCTTCCGTATGTTATATTCTTGGGAAACCGGGCACCCCTCTAGACCGGCCATTTTATTCAGTTCGGCAGCTGGCCGGTTTAGAGAAGTTTTACTGTATTATAGTTTTAACTTATCACGGGTTTCATTGATGCCGAATGCCTAAGCTTTGTAGACTTGAAATGGGCATAAGAAATGGCGTATAATGCGGAGAAAAGAGAATCCCATGATTATCCATGAATGCGTTTTATCCCAATATCTCACCACAAATATTAGAAACTGCATGGACTATTTTGTAAAATACATTTAAATATAATAAAGACTGATGTCTATTTGATAAGATTTTTATTTTGGGCTCTAAAAACTAAACATTTATCGTATTTATATCAAATATTTAACGTAAGTTTAAATTTTGGGATTGCTACCTCCTAATGACAGATTTTTTTTATCCCACTTTAAATGCATTCTAAGCTTTCAAGTCATGTTTGTTCACGGTAAAATTGTCGTAAATATTATATTATTCCCAAATGCGCATAAAGTTAACAGAAAGTTTGTTCTAAAAAAATCTTTTAAGCAAAAAACTTAAAAACCATGTGTTGTATTTATTTTTTCATGGGTTTGTCTAAATGCTGTTATCTGATTGGTCAGAAGGACTAGCGCTTTGTTTATTCTGTATATTAATAGCAATATTAATTGTGGCCCCACCCTCTCCCTGGGGATCATGATTTGAACAATTTAGAATCTACACCACCCCAGGATGCCACCACATAAGTATCAGCTTTTCTGGCACAGTAGTTCTTGAGAGGAAGATTTTTTAATGACCCCACCCTATTTTGTCTTTTCTTGATTATCTCCTCTTGTGAGAGGACTTGACCCTTCATTATAAAAATTAAATTTCCCATCACCAAAGGAAGCTTTGTACCAAGTTTAGTCAAAATTCGCTCAGTGGTTATTGAGAAGAAGTCGAAAATGTGAAAGGTTTACAGACGGACAGAGAGGTAGACAGAAGGACAGCTAGACGGACTGATGGACAGACGACGGACAAAATGTAATCAGAAAAGCTCACTTGATACTTCCGCTCAGGTGAGCTTATAAATCAATTCCAATTATTGATTAAACATACCCTTTATTCTGTCTCTTTTAACATCCGTGGCCTTGGATTGTGAATCAGACAAATCTTTGACACCTGAAATAAGATTAAAATATAATGAACTTTGTTAGAACATTAAGGTTTTCTGTCTTCAGCTTGAGATAAAATATTTCACAGAGTCTGACACATCTGTTTCATATGAACTAGATATTTTACTTTAAAAAAAAAAATGTTAATGGTAATCTAACAACCAAGCTATATGACAAACGCGATGACTAACTTTTCTATCATTAACTTTCTTACTTATGCAGCAATATACCTTCATCATCTGCGGACGGAGTATATATATCTCAGTTTATTCAATATGCAAGAACATGCTCAACATATGAACTATTTTTAAAACAAGAGGCCCCTGGGCCTTATAGGTCACCTGAGCATTATTCAACAACTTCCCAGTGACTGAATTTGATCCATGTTTTAAGCCAGATGCTATAGCATTTACAATCTGGTCATCATAACTATACACTTAGCAGTTCCTTAGTTTGGTTACTTTATACCCATAGGCAGGGTAGGGGAACAAAAAATGCATTTCAACTAATCAGTAATATTCAGCAATAATCAGTAGTGCCGCTACCACACATGAACCCTTGACTCTTAGGCCTAGATCCACACATTGCACTATTTTTGGAAAGGCATACTTGCTTTTCAAAAATATTTGATTAATACTAAGGAGCACATTTCAAACAATTCATTCATTTTCAGTACATAAGTACAGCCTCCCCCCCCCCCCCACTATGGTACAATTGACCCTGGGGCCTTGAAATTTACAATTCTTGAAGATTAGGGATTGCTCATAACTATATAGGTAATTCATCTGCTTAAAACCTAGGAGCAAAGAAGAAAATATTCAAAAATTTAATGTTTTTTCACTATACATGTATAATCAATACAGCCCCGCCCTAACACCAGAATCCCTGACCCTGGGGCCATAAAATTCACAATTTTGGCAGAGGCACTCTTGTTCATCATAACTATGTACTTAGTTAGTTTATTTAATACCCAGGAGTAAAGAAGAAGATTTTCAAAGAATTCATGTTTTTCCTCTATATAATCAATAGAGCCCCACCCTGACACCAGAACCCCTGACCCTGGGGCCATAAAATTCACAATTTTGGTAGAGGCACTCTTGCTCATCATAACTATGTACTCAGTTAGTTTATATAAAACCTAGGAGCAGAGAAGAAGATTTTCAAAGAATTCATGTCTTTTCACTATATAATCAATAGAGCCCCGCCCTAAAACCAGAACCCCAGACCCTGGGGCCATAAAATTCACAATTTTGGTAGAGGCACTCTTGCTCATCATAACTATGTACTTAGTTAAATTATATAAAATCTAGGAGCAGAGAAGATTTTCAAAGAATTCATGTATTTTCACTACATAATCAATAGAGCCCCACCCTAACACCAGAACCCCTGACCCTGGGGCCATAAAATTCACAATTTTGGTAGAGGCACTCTTGCTCATCATAACTATATACTTAGTTAGTTTATTTAATACCCAGGAGTAAAGAAGATTTTCAAAGAATTCATGTATTTCCTCTATATAATCAATAGAGCCCCGCCCTGACAC